ACCCCCCCCTTTTTTTTTTATTTGCCCCCCCCCCCCCCCCCCCCCCAAAAAACGAGAAGAAAACCTAAGAATAAGATATTCAATTTCTCAGAGCAAAGATGCATATAGATAGATAGATACTGCTAGTATCCCTAGTTCGTGATCTTTGTTCAACAAAGTATTGAGGGGCACTTCCTCAATCAATCCGATATCCTGAACTCAACTCCTAGAAGGTCCTTCACCTTCTCATAGGTCACAAACGCAATCGCTATCGATGGGACAACCTGAACAATCCACAGTTGAACATGTTCAGGCTCCATGTCTAAGGCCAAAAGGGTACAAACATAAGGTTTAAAACAAACCTTGACGGAGTTAGGGACCAAACCCTTGTACAGTGCTCCAACACCCTCGTGCCGAACGGTTTTCCTGAATGCATCGATCATTCCAGAATATTCAAGTGGAGCTTTGCCTCCCCCATCGCCTGTGATAACCGAGGAAGCGTCTTTCCATCCTACCATCTGCATTCTCCTACGAACAACGTCAAGAGGGTACGCAACGGTTTGACCAATTGTTCCAGCAACGGCTCCACACGCAAGCCTTGTGGTCACTGTCAACTCAGAGTTGTCAACGATCCCAAAAGGTCTTGATTTAACCAGCCAATCTTTGAGAGATTCATAAACTGCAAAGTTAAGGCCCACATATGGAACCTGCAAAGGCAACCATCCTCGAGCATGACGACTCAAGTCGTAGCAAAATTCATATATTCCAGGAACATTGATAATAAGCTATGGAACTCACAACTCCAATAACAGATGGAAGCCAGCCTCTGTACAACGCCCTTGGTCCTTCCTCACGCAGCACAGTTGATAAAGCATGGACCATTCCCCTGTACTGATAAGGAGATTTTTCTGTCTGCGTAGAAAAGTGATACAAACTGTCGCCCGTTAGAGAGACGGTGCGAGAAACAAAGAAAGAAAAATGGAAAATAATAAAGAAAAAAACAGAAAACATAACACACTTCCAGACGAATAATCCACCAAGAACCAGAGAAAATAACTTATCTGGTTTTCATAAGAACAAATTAGGATCCAAAATTGATACCTGGACAGTAAGCCTCCCGCGCACCATGTCCATCGGGTAAGTAGCAGACATGGCAATTATTCCAGCACAAGCTCCAGCTCCAAGGCGTAAAAGAGGTGTAAGCTCGGCTTCATCTGCTCGGGAACAAAACAATCACTTTAACTGTTATAGCATTCTCAATCTAGAACAACAAGCACACATCAAACATAAAATGACAGCCGTAAAAATGCAGGCTCATGTGTGTGTGCATGTGAAGTTGATTCCGATTGCAGATGAAGTTTCTAAAGACTTTGGATGAAGAAGAGGTCTCAACAGACGGAGAATGAAATATAGAGTCATTAATGATATTCCCATAATTACGCAGAAATCCCACCTAATTGGATTATAAACTCGATTTTGTTGTATCATTAAAAAAAGTTGGCATACTCTTGATTAAACAAAGACAAAAGCAATATTACATGACATGAGATTACTTACCATCCCCTGTTTGCTGCTGATACAGGTAGAGTATCCCCCTGCGACAGAATGAGATAACAACAATATAAATGAAACGAGAGATTTGAGGATATCAAGTCGGAGAATAAGTTGCTCCGAAACAAAGACAGAATGTGAGAACAAGCTCCTTCAAAGTACATACTACAAACAAAGAAATTCATCTAATTGAATAGACACAAGCCTACTGATAGAATTTGTGCATGTAAGCACACCAGTTGTAAGAGATTTAAAAAAAAAAAGCACCATCATCAGCAGATGAATTACCCCAAAGATGGATGCTAATGTATACAACAGCAGAACAAAAACAAGAGAGACAGTAAGCTAACTAACAGAAACAAAAGGCATTTAAGCAAAACCAAACCCATAGAGACCACATTATGCATAGAGATAAACTGAATGATAACAGGAGAACGGAAATTGGGCAGGAAGAACACAGAAAAAGAAGGTTAAGGCCATACTTTGAAGCTTGCTCATAGCTGAAGAACTTGACTGCTGAGTTGGGAACGATGCGGGCGCAGTTAGTACCATTGCCTTTGAACAATCCACGAAATCCTTCGGTTCTCCATATATACTTCAATCCTTGAACTGTTCCATTGTATTTTATATTGTGGGGATTTTGAACCTAGAATGCAGACATCAACTAACAATAAGCATCATCTTCCGTCCCATCCAAAGACCAATATTTTCACATAACAACAGACGAAACACACAAAACCTGTAGTAAAATCTTCAGTCTCTCCAGAGGTGCAACCGCAGTCCTTGACCTGCTCCACCAAAACCCACACGGGAAATTTCAACGTACGTATTGAACACGGAAGGAAATTATGCATTGCCAGAAAGTTTTCCGCTTTCGTCTCTGATCCTCCCAGAAACAGTATGAAATGCAAAAAATATAATCCATTTTTCCAATTTTCCGTACGAATCTGATCGAATTAGCCCAAGCAGAAGAAAAAAAAAACAAAAGAGCGAGAGAATTGAAAGAAGAACTCACACTCCACCGGCAACTCCACCAGCGACGAGAGACTTGCAGATGCTGAGAACCGCGTGGCTCGGGGCCTTGACACCTTCCTTCGTCAGCTTCGCCTCCTCTGCCAGATTCACGATCGTCGAAACCGCAGATTCGCTCGTATTCACGTCCTCCGATGCCATTAAAGACAACGAAACGAGAAACCAATTAGGCAGAGAAACCCAGAACCCAAATGTATCCGAGACCTCCTCGCCGAAACCCTAGGTTCAGCTCCCGTTTGACGTAGGGTTCTCTCACCGATCAACTATATCTCCAATCTCCGGCGAAGGAACGAAGGGGACGAAACAAAACTCCGGCGAATTTACCGGAGGGGCAGAGATTGCATTTCTCGGAGCCTCTGGTTTCTCGAGTTGTTGGATGTATGGCGGCAGTGACGGCTACAACACTCCAACAAACGGCCCGACTAGAAACGCCGTTTTCATTATTAGATCACGTTAAAACCCACACGTGGCGCCCATCGTAAGTACTGGACACTCGCTATCCGATTTCGCCACGTGTCAGAGCGTTCTGATCCAGAACTGCGGTTCCACCTGATTCCACGTTTGGTTCCGTTGTTAGTTCTCTTATTCAGTTCCGACGCCCGAAGACAAGGCCAAACGCGTCCTAACTATGTGCGAGCGAGTCAGTTGAGCCGTTGATCAAGGATCCAACGGTCATGGAGACATCCATCCGTATACGGAATGATAACGGAAACCTGAAGGGTTTTGATAAACGGCGCAACTCCGTTAAGAGGGATGGACCTGTGAATAGATATGATTTTTTATACGGATATAATGTTTGTTACATTTTTACCACCGGAAAATGAAAATCTTCTAAACATAGAAAAAATAAGTCTCGGAAACATATTTTAATGGTTGAAAATAGAATGTGTCACTTGTTTTATAATAATTATCAAGTAGAACCGGTTAAAACAATATTTTGTAATGAATTCGGCTCCTTTTTTTAATCCTTTATAAATTTTTCAAAACGAATTCTATATTTGTTATTGGACCCATAGGTCAGTCCAATATCAAAGTTGAAGCCCAAAAGCACTCAAAATATCAATTAGGCCCATTAGCTCTCTCTCTCTCTCTCTCTCTCTCTCTCTCTCTCTCTCTCTCTCTCTCTCTCTCTCTGATCCACTGTTCGCAATACAAAAAAAAACTCCACTGTTTGCCTTACGCGAGTTTTTTTTTTTGTACAATATGAACATGTATTGGGTCCTACACTTTCACGGTTGACATGAATAGGGGTTGACTAAACACAAGGATCGTAATTATATTTCCACATGAATCCATGTCGGTCCAATTATCAGAATCCCGTAGCCGCAATATCCATATACATATGTGTGTGTGTTTAAGTGACATAGAGTTTGTGGGTGTGTATTGTATTTTGCGGCAAAGAAAGTGGCTGAGCATGAGATCGTAATAACAACACGTGTCGTGTCGTGTCGTACGATGGTGTATCGAAATTGGAAATACGGATGGGCGGCCCAGCCGTTATGAAGAGATGGATGTTCACACGACGACGCATGTATGTGGTGGAGGTGATCATAACGAAAAAGGGTGGTCGGAAACGGAAGTGCCAAATAGATGAGGGGTCGCTTTCAAATATACCGAAATTTGGTGGCTGAATGGTGGAAAGATGATCGATCCCCCCTCTTAATTCGCAGAAATTGGGATGTAAAGGTAAATAGTTATATATATATATATATATATACACACATATATTAGAATAAAATATTGAATTGTTTGATCTCTCCAGAACGGAAAGGTCATAAAAAAAACAAAAAAGACCAATCAAGGTATTTTAGTTTTAGATTTTCATCTCTCCATCAATATCCTCGGAGATATTTATTCTATAAAAGCAAATTGACAACAAATTTTGTAATGATTTGGGCTTTGAAGGGGGATGAGTTTTATTTTGGGTTTTTAGTTTTAGTTTTTGGATTTTGGTTTTTACTTTTTGGTTTTTGGATTCTATAATATTTGAAAACTAAAAAAAAAAGTAGTTTTTGATTTTTCTTTTATTTTTCCACTAAGATAGTTTTCCAAGTTTTTATAAAAAATAATTTTGTGAAAACTTAATGATAATTTTTTTGGTTTTTGGATTTTTAAAACTCTAAAAACTCCAACCATTCCACACCTTTGTTGTAGCCAACATTGGGCGGACTGTATAAGTTGTACATTGCACGTTAATGTGTTTTTTTAAGAAAAAAAAGTTCATAAAAATAATTTGTGAAAAAATATGTGATGCAAATATTTTGGATGTTTTCTTTGAGGATTTTCGCATGTGGGATTTCATTGGTTACATTGTGATCAGAAAGATTTTAAAAAATGGTCAGCTTTTGTAAATAATAAAAAAAAAAATAGGTGAAGAATTAGACAAAACGGTCATTTAATGGGCCAGGTTTTAATGGTAGGCCTAATCAGGAAATGGCCTGTGTTGGTGGGCTCCGTACTAAAGTCGGAGCCGTTACTGTAATTTCATAACAATTGTGGGGCCGAAATTGAAGAAGCCCAAAATAGTGGGAGAAAAATGCGAGAAGTGGACGGCAGTCGGCAGCAGCAAGATCTTCTATCCACCGCCAATAAAACTTCGCCACGTCATTGATCTCGTTTATGCTAATTCCCTAGCATTTAAATATTCCACGTTTAAGCTAACCAGCTAATATCACTCTAACTAAGCATGGTTATAATTAATAATTATATTACTTTTTTTTGTCTTTTATTCGTTGGAATCTACCCACTAATTAACTTTATATGATAGCATTTTTAATAAAAGCCCATGATCATGTTCATGATTATCGTATATATATATATATATATATAATTAACGCTATGGGCAGATTTTTTGTGCAATCTAAAAGTCAATCCAAAATTATAAAAGAATCAAATAACATTTGTTTATAGATGCCGAGGTCTCTACAAAGCGATATATAAAGACTAATATAATAAACTTACATGTGTCACGCAAGGTTTCTTTGATTATTGAAGAGGTTAATGATAATGATTAATTATAATGGTTAGAATTGATATAATTCGTAAACTATCGTACGATGTGGACCCCATTTGCATCTTTTCTAGTCATTTTGTTGACTATAAAGGTGCATAATAATATTAAAGTGTATTTAGTCGTACTTATCTAATCCTATTGATTTCGATATAATTGATTTGGTTTTGTCTAGTTATGGTCTTTTTTTTTATACAATTTTATTATATATCTAAGAGTAGTATAGAAAATAATGGCATATAGTTCGAAGCAATTTTGTATACAAATGACGGATATATAAATGATCTAATTAAATGAATGGTTTAAAGTGAGTGATTATAGCATTTTAAAATTTATAATATATATAATGGTGGAACTCATATATGATTTTTATATATGTTATGAATGCGAATTATGGTAGTAATTATCTTTTTATTTGGGTGACAAAAATATATCGTAAATCCCATATAGAACTTGTGGATATGTGATATATATCCAAAGGTTAAATACAAAATTTCGAAACATTAATGATGGTCCGATAAATGTCATAAATATGAACAGATGATAATGTGAACACATGCAAAGAGGTCACTGGATGACCACGGAGGAAAGAACAGATGACAGAGGAAGAAATATAGGTAAGATAACATTTTAAATGATAATTAATTATTTAATTAATTAGCGATTATAATAATCCCAATTATATACAGCCACCTAGGTATGAACGTGTGGGTTTAATTTGTTGTTTTCTTTCTCCCAATCCTGTCTGAAGCTTAAAACTCAAGCAAAAAAATCTTAAAAAAATTCGGAATTTTTTTTTTATATATATATTTGAACATCACTTTCTGATTTTACATCTCTAATTCCGTACGATGATTGGGGTTGGATACAAATAATAATTGAAATATCTTAAAATCAAATCGAGGCAATCTTGAAATTTAGTCACGTTCACTACATTACCATGCACAGCAACTTTAATGCCATTATTTTTTAATCGGTTGTTTTAAATGGTTTCATATTTGTTTTTCAAGTCTTGAGAATAAATCGAATAAAAACCTTGAATTTTGCTACTTGCATTTACGACATTATCACAAACAACACTTTTTTTTCTCGTCGATATTCTATTCTATATCTCAGTTGTTTTAAATATAGAAAAATTTAAAAGCTAAAATATGAACGACTTCAATATTGAATTTCTAAACATAAATTTATTTCCCTTAATATAGACATATATATATATATATATTGTTATACATGGTAAATATATGCTAATCGGCTTTACAATTCTTATATATATATATATATGAAAATAATTTTACGTACAAGTCGACCATGACGACACTGGTTACAAAGCGTGGTGAAAGTTACATTAATCTTACATTGTGTGTCATTGGCGCAGACGTCAAGAAAGCAATACAAAAAAATAATCGAGAAAGTGTAATCCACTCTGTCACGATGGTGAGATTATTGAAAAATGACAAAAAAATTAATGCTAATGGAAGATGAAATTATTTTATTAAATAAATAAAATATAGTCCGATTGGATTGGACCAACCGGCGCCGAAAAAAAAAGAAATAAAAAAACTATATTTTTTTTTCTGTCTCGTCGTCGGCAAGTTGGAGAGAGAGAGAGGAAAAACAAAAACTTTATAACGGCTTTCACTGAACCAAAAGTTCCAAATCAAAAGAATCCTTCATCTTCTTCTTCTTCTTCTTCTTCTCCCTATAAATTCGCAGCTTTGTCTCAATTCCAAATCGCCCGCTTTCTTTTTTCACACTCTGAGATTCACTCTCTGTCTCTAGTTTTGCCTCACAGATCGCAAGGTACGCCCTCTCTCTCTATATATATACACACATATATATATGTATATGCATGTATATCGTGAGAATACATCGAAAACTATGTTGTATGAGTCCCATGTCTATGCCCAAATCGTGAAAATGATATATTCCTTGGATTTGATAGTATTTCATTCGCTCGAGAGCTTCGTTCGCTTTTCCGTTTCCATGTGTCCCCCGAGATTCCCGATCGCGTTGATCATGCTTGTGGGGACGGGGGGGGGGGGGGG